CACACACACACACACACACACACACACACACACACACACACACACACACACACACACACACACACACACACACACACAGTATAATATTGTAACCACAAACTAAAAAGAGATAGCCAGACTCCCATAAACTCACGACTTGCTTTGACACAATTTCATGCGCCACCTACCGTCGGCATGTATCACTGTCGCCCTCTGGATGTCGATGTCATTGAACTCCACGGCCATGCTCTCGTACAATTGTCGCCGCATCTTGGCGAGCGCGCGCCACACCAGCACCAAGTAACCGGTTGCCGGGAACAACACCCTGCCATCGATTACGTGACCCAGCAAGTAGAGATCAGGTGAGGTCGCCGAGAGGTCAATCTCAAACTTACATTCGCCCATGCCGTTGGTGCTGGAATGAGATCGGAGAGAATTTAGCACGCCGTGTCTAGAGGTAACGGGAACTGCCACCATGCTCACTAGCTATGGTACATATAGGTCATCAAACAATCACAAAGGTCACCTGATGTACCACGAAGGTCACAACACATACACCAAAGGTCATGAGACATGACACATCTGTGAGACCTGCCACATCATACACATGTCACCCACATCGACCACCACGTCGACATTGTCACGAAGTTTTGTCACAGTCGTGGCGGCGATACTCACATGATGAACTCGTCCTGTGCGGGCACGGCCCACGTCTGTGAGTGATCCCACGAGATGAGAGAACCCAGCATTGCTGTTCCCTGCAACACGGGGAAGTGCGGTGCCGACGGCCGCAGCTTGCATGTCGCCGGGTTGACTCCACTCACGTAACACCTGTTCATACAAAGCAGCGCATCACTCAAAACAGGAGAGATCCGATACGTGATGCTGCAGTTCTGGCTTCCTACTTCAGCATGCTGAGTAACCACATGCAACTTCCTTAATATAATGAATATTGATGGTAAGAAGTGGTCACTTTATATCAATATACTACACGTATTATATATCATATAATATTTTAAGAATAATTGTGTGCTCTTTTTATATCAGTATACTACATGTATTATTTATCCTATAATAATATTTAAAATGAAAGAATCTTACTTTCCGATGCTGGCCAGGAAGAACCTGGTGTTGTCTTCCTCCCTGCGATTCTGCAGACCAATGATCGTCGTCCCATCGTTAAGGGACCGTCTCAATATGGCCTGTAGTAAGCAGTGCGAGGCAACCTCAATCACGACCGCGTTGTCCGGAACATGAGTCAGTCCCTCCTGAAACAGTACTGGGCTCACCTGCAATAGGAAACGAGATTGTAGCCGTGATCGATGTACCGCACTCGCGACGAATAAATCAGTGGGAAAGGATGCATCCGAGCAATAGAAATGTACTGCACAAGGAATCTTTATATTACATTATATGCTGTGAGGATTGCATATAGATTTGAAGTAGAATATACGCATGGGTGACAACACTCGCACGCATGCACCTACTAGGTTGTTGACGTGGTAGTCAGCAGACGACAGCTGGGCCAGGGCTGAATCCCACCTGCTCTCTGGAATAGATGTACTGATCCACTTTGCAGTCCTTCGCTTGGGATGTTTGATCACCTATACGGTAAGAATGGCACGTACGCGTCACAGCGAGATATGCAGCCACCCATCCTCACGAGACAAAAGGCAGCTCATGCGAGGCATACTCAATATCAGACATCGCACGCACACGAAATATTCTTACGTGATACCTATAACTTATACAGATTTCTGTTTAGCACACTTAGTTATACACCCATATATAACTTGTTCTAATTAATTTAAGTTTAACCATTTAGATAATATAAATGTTAACATCAATTTAATAAGATAAAAAATATTTAATCAAGAACAATATTGAAAATAATCATTTACGCTGAACACTGACAATTAACCGATTCAATGCACAATAGAACATTAATAACAAACGCTGAGTAAAAGCAGACATTAAACGTGCTAGACCCGTGACTTTGGAGGAAACCGTGGTCTGTCTTCGTACATTAAGGAGCGCAGCCTTGAGTTTGGGAGCGACCTGCGCCATCTGGTGAGAGTGGAAGGCAACGCCTGAGCTCGCCACCTCTCTCACGAACACGTCGTCTGCTCGCAGCTCAGCCATGAAGACGTCAACGCTCGCAGCCGGCCCTGAGATGGTGACACTGTCGCGAGAGTTGTGGCACGCGGCGACAATGTCAGCCGGACAGCGACGCCTCGTCTCCTCCCACGTCAAGCCTACACACACGCACGTGAACACGTATATATGTATATATAGATATCTTATAGTATATGTGTGCATGTGTGCCTCTATCTCTGTGTGTTTTCATGCATGTTTATGATATTATAGAGTGTGCATTTCATTTGTAAGAGACTCCGATGGTAATTCCAACTACAGTTAATAATATACTGCAATATATGACAGTTAGACAGAAAAACTCACTACCACTCAAGAAGACTTCTTCAAGGAACAACAAACAAGGAAGATACATTATAATGTGGTTAACTAGAAAACGTTCCAGCAGAAACACATAATTGTTAAATAAATAATTAATAAATACATGATATAAGGTGGAGCCAAAACACAGTACAACTGTATTCGGAGGATGAACACGTTAATTACCGATGGCAGCCATCTTGCCAGCCGGTAGCTTGGCCTCGCTCACGCACTTTCCTCTCCAGTAGGCACAGAGTACGGTCTGTTCTGCAGACAGGCATCCGTCTGCATAGGCACAGGCCAACTCACCGACCGAGTGACCGACGAAACCATCGCCATAGATGCCGAGAGAGCGCAAAACATCAATCAGCGCCACCTGTGTTCAAAGACGAGTTTTTAACTCGAAATCCCAACCTTTCAGAAAACGTTTTATCGACTTTGTGGGCATTACCACAACCCGCTATCTCGCATAACGTAAACTGAACCTATTATGCTGAATTATTCATTAATATATTATTTGCAAACATATATTTCATATACATCGGGGCCTGTGGGGTGCTTTTCAGAATTTTCTCATTCTCTCAAAACTTGTAGTAGCTGCACTGTGACTGATTTTTCTCAGGGAATATAACTCAATGTCATATTGATACTGTTATCGTCAGCATGTCGTACGCGGTCACGTAAGCTCACTTGTACGGCGGCTATTGCGGCGAAGGCAACAGGTGTGCTCTCCAGCATCTTCTCCTCGCCTGACGCTATGATGTCACAGAGGTCGACCCCGTGACCCGTGAGCGTGTCAGCTAGCTGCAGCATTGTCTGCTTGAAGGCGGGCACGCGCATCATGTCGCGCGCCATGCCCGGCCACTGCACGCCCATGCCAGAGCAGACGAACCAAACGGGACGAGCCTCACAGCTGACACGCTGCATGACAAGAGACATAATTACATACGGGCATCAACACACAGAAAAGTGTCACAACATGCGTCAATGTACAGGCAAGTGTCACAACATGCGTCAGTGCACCGGCAGGTGTCACACACATATCAGCAAGAGACAAATGCCAGAAGTGCGTCAAGTGTCACAGTACGTGTCAATTTAGAGACAAGTGTCACCCACATGTTAGCTAGACACAGGTGTCACACAAACATATTAAGAGACAAGTGTCACATAGTTACAAAAGTCATCCATGCATCAATGAAACATGTGTCACACAAGTGGAGACAAGTGTCACACACGAGTCAACACAGATGAATAAATTAAGGCACAGAACAACAATCATACCGAAATGTAAGATCTAAACTTAATCTGGAATGAAATGGTCCAAAACGTGTAAAATGCCACTGCACATGGTAGACGAGAACATTGAAGAATCACACGTAACTAATTGTTAATTTGTTATATACTGAACATCACCAACCTTTACCCTTGTAGGGCCTACTTCTAAACTGGCATTCATTTGATAACGATGACTAAAACTTGGCTATGGAGTGAAGCGTACCTGCACATCAGTGCTTTGCGTGCTAGTGTTAAGCACCGTGTAACCCCTGTACGGATGCAGACTGGTGGGACTGGCATATACACGATCCAGCAACGCGAGAAACTCCGAGTCATGTGAGTTTTCCTCGGCTGCTCTCAGTATGCCTTCAACGCCCTCTGGTGTCCTTCCTGCTACCGTGACTAGCTGCGTCTCATCGGTCATTATTTGTGGTCTAAACATGATGCGTACACACTAACCATAGAACAAAAACAATGACCCCGCTCACACACGTACATTGTATTGTAACTATATCATAAAATATCTCTTAGTGATGAGACAACAACTGTGTTGAATGGTTGACGTGTAGATGAATATATATGTTTATAGTTTTAAGTACTTACCTCACATTGTTTGGACCCTTTAGAATCACATGGGCATTGGTACCACCAAACCCGAATGAATTAATGCCAATAAAGCTGCCCCTGGGAAGTGGCATAGAGCTAGTCACAACTTGGAGCTTCCCATTAACCAGACCGGGAATGTCTGGATTTGGCTCATTGTAATGCAGGTTTCCAGGAACAGCTCCCTCCTCCATTGCTAGTATTACCTTTGCCATTCCAGCAAGACCTTTTAACAAAACAGTTACACAATGTATACGACTTGCTCTAAAAACCCGTACCATTTTCCTTTCTAACTAGCATACATGCTTCACTATAACTTAAAAGATAGTCAGCCTCTCAGATATTGAATAACTGTAACAATTACATTATAGTAAGCCGTGCAGCAACAGGCTCTGCACAATAACAATAACAACAACAATAACAATAACAATAACGCCCCTTTTATCCCCGATCATCATAGAAACCATTCTGTAAAGTCTCCTAGCTCATCGCTATCGCGTATACGACAACGAGCCTATCTATACTAGATGTATATAGTCGTATACATGTTCATGTGCATACCTGAAGCAGGCTCGGCGTGCCCCATGTTGGACTTCACCGAGCCGATCGGCAGTGCCCCCTGGCGACCCTTGCAGAAGACGTCGGTGACAGCGTTGAGCTCCTGTGGATCGCCGACCTTAGTGCCGGTG